TCAGAAATATTGACTATCTAAAATGTTGCTCTCTTTTCTAAGACATGCATTCTTTCAAAACAGATCTTTTGTCTAAATATGTTCCTCATCCACTCCCCCTACCTTTTTACTTATCTGGAGAATTTCTGCTTAAGTTCCTGGATCTGTTTTGTCAGCTTATTTAAACTGTGACTTGACAGAGGCAGCTCTATCAATTATCAACCTACCTAAATAGTTTCATGCCAAATTTCATTGCCTCATTGGGATGTCTCTCAGATCCTGAGTTGAATGGTTTGATATTAATTCAAGTTGTTTCATGTTTATTTTTATTTTTCTGAAAGGCAGAGAAACAGAGATTTTCTATCTGCTGGTTCTCTCCCAAAATAGCCAGGGCTGGCCCTGGCCAAAGTCAGGAGCCTGGCTTTCAATCTGGGTCTTCCAATGTGTGGTGGGGATCCAAGTACTTTTCGCCATCACCTGCTCCCTCCAATGATATGAATTAGCAGGAAGCTGGATCAGAAGTAGAGGAACAGGACTTGAACCAGCACTTGAAGACAGGACTGGAGTTCCAAGAAGCATCCCGGCTGCTTTGCCAAATGCCCACCCTCACACATGGTGTTTCTGAATTAGGTCCTTCTGATTGGGACTGGCAGTAGGGAAGGAGGCAAGAAGGGGACCTTTTTCTATTCTCTTTTCTTGAATATAGTTAATGCCCTGCCTTGGGGTTTGCTCTCTAGTGAGTAATGTATATATTCAAGTGAGAGAGCCCTTGTGTTTCACATCTCTCTTCCTTAAGAGAAGCTGAAAGGTCTTTGGCAGTCACAAACAATTATCATCCTTGAGCCACTATTCCCCCTTACCTTTCCCAATGTCCTGCTTGTCCAAATTGGAAGTGGCAGATCAAGGGTGAAATCAAACCCCAGTTTCTTCCAGCTCTGGCTTGTCCACAGTGGAAGTAAGCTATTCAATTCCCCTATTGAATTTCTCTCTTTTTTTTTAAGCCTTTTCTGTGTGAGATAATCTGATTAATTCTATCAGATTATTCTTCCTTGTCCAGTTTCTCAATCACAAGTGGAAAAAAAAATAAGTCACCCTGTGGTTATTCTACTTATTTATCCAAAAAGGTTCCAAGAAGACACTACGATTCTTCAAGTTGCTATCACTTCCCACTAAATTGAGAGGATTTTCCAAAATCTTATTAATTCAACTACTCATGGTACTGCTTTCTACAGGGGATGAGGAAGAACTTATATATTTCAAAAATGATCCTTCAGTTTCTTTCTAACTGTCCTATTCCTCTGCTGACACTCTGCAAAGTTTATGGTATAAGAATGAGTTCCTTACCTAGTTTCAGGGTCATTGTCATCTACTTTGATCTTTTTCCTCCTTTTTATTCATTTAATTAGTTCCAGGGGAAGTGTGTTATAACCATACACACACCTGGCTACTTTTCTCTGAAAGCTGCCAGACCTTCTTTTAGCGTACTACTTATAGAGTACTGCCAACATTTATGGAACATGTACCATATTTAGAGCACCAAGAAGTCCTAACAGAGCACTCTTTTAACTAAAGTTAAATGTGAGATACTGGAAAAGATTTCCAAAAGGAGTGTGCTTTAAGTTGAATTTTGAAAGAAGAGGTAGTGAAGTACTAACAAGGAGGAGGCAAAAGCCAGTCCCAAATAAGAGGAAAGGCAAATAGAAAAACACAGTAATGGAGGAGCAAACCAGACATGGACAGGGAAAGACGTCTTTTGCTTATCTGAAGGAGATGCTGAAAGAGAGTGAAAACAGGATGATAGAGTCAGAAACAGCAAAGAACAGGTCAGAATTTTCATAAGAAGCTGACAGATTAGGCGTCACAGGGAGACCACAAAGGCACTGAATACTCATGAACATGAACAGAATATATCGTATCTGACCACACACACACAAAAAGGATTATCCTAATCATTTTGAGAACCTACTGAAATAGTGAGAAAATAAAAAAACAGTCCTAAAAAATAAAGGTCTCTGCAATCAGTGAAAACCTTGGCCTAGGGGCCTGGCATTGTGGCCTTGTGGGTTAAGCCACTGCCTGAAAACTGTTATTCCATATAAGTGCCAGTTCAAATCCCAGTCTCTCTACTCCAATCCAGCTCCCTGCTAATGCACCTGGGAAAAGCCATGGAGGATGGTTCAACTACTTGGGCCCCTTCCAGTCACATGGAAGGAGAGACCCAGATGGAGTTGCAGGCTCATGGCTTCAGCCTAGCCCAGCCCTGGCTGTTGCAGCCACTTGGGGAATGAACCAGTAGATAGAAGCTCTCTCTCTCGCTCACTCTCTCTCTCTCTCTCCTTCTCTCTAACTGCCTTCAAATAAAATCAAAATAAATAGAAAGAAAGAAAGAAAAAAAGAAAGAGAAAGAGAGAGAGAGAGAGAGGAAGGAAGGAAGGAAGGAAGGAAGGAAGGAAGGAAGGAAGGAAGGAAGGAAGAAAGGAAGGAAACCAACCTAAAAAAACCTTGCCCTGGCTATCAACATCGGAAGGAAGACATGGAAACAGATTTTCAGGTTTATATGTTAGACCAAATGTAGGAAAGGAGAGAGAATGGTGATAATAAAGAAGAAATATAGCCCAAAGTGTCTTGCTTTGGCTGCAGAAGGGTAATAAAGGGAACACTTGAGTATCTAGACTTCTTAGATTACATGAGTATATTCATTATTTTATATCATTTAATGACTAACAGTAAGATTTACCAAACTTTGTTATTAATGATATGATGATCTTTGCTTATTTTTGTTCTTTTTTTTTTAAATTACTTGAAAGAGAAAACAGAAATAGAGACATCTAGCAGAGAGAGACAGAGAGAGAGGTCCTCCATCTGCTGGTTCACTACCCAAACGGCTACAATGGCCAGATCCAGTCTGATCTGAAGCCAGGAGCCAGGAGGTTCCTTTGGGTCTCCCACGCAGGTGCAGGGGCCCAAACCCTTGGGCCATCTTCTACTGCTCTCCAAGGCCATAAGAAGAGGGCTGGATCTGAAGAGGAGAAGCCGGTATACAAATGGCACCCACAAGGGATGCCGGCACTGCAGGTGGAGGCTTAGCCTACTACTCCACAGCACAGGCCCCTATTTTTTGTTCTTACAGTCAGATATAAATCAAAACAAGTACATTAAACTCTCCAACTACTAATATGATTTTCTCTATTTCTCCGACTTTCATCTGATGGTTTTACTTTTTGGACATTGATATTATAATCTTTAATAAAGATACTCATAACTTTATGACCTCATTTAACACTTTAACATAAGTGAAGTTCTGTGTCTTAAAGCTTCATGTCCTGAAATTAGTTTTACCTGATATCAAGATCACAAACCTTTCTTTAATTTGTACTTGTGTGAAAACTTTAGTCTATCCTTTTATTTGTGTCTCTTGTTGTAGACAACAGTATAGCATAAAAGTTGTGCTTTGGGGGCTGGTGTTATGGCATTGCAGGTAAAGCTGCTACATGCGATGCTGGTATCCCATATGAGCACTGGTTCAGGTCCTGGCTGCTCCACTTCTGATCCACCTCCCTGCTAATGTGCCCGGGAAAGCAGCAGAAGATGGCCCAACTCCCTGGGCTCCTTCCACCCACGTGGGAGTCCCAGAATGATCCAGCCCTAGTCATTGTGGCCATCTGGGGAGTGAACCAATGGATGGAAGATCGCTTTCTGTCTCCCTCTCTCTCTGCTAACTGTGCCTTTCAAAACTCCAATTTAAAATGTTTTAAAAGTTATGCTTTGCTGGTGAACCAATCTGAATTAGGTAACTATAGCCTGTTTACCTCTAATGCCATCACAAATTTAGTCTAAGATTTTTTTAAATTATGGAATGTTTTATTAATTTAAAAAATATTTTACTATGTGGCTGTGCTTTCATTCTTATTACAAAGTATTTATTCATTTTACTTATATCCAAGGCAGACTGATGAGAGAGAGAAGGAAAGAGAGTGAGAGAGAGATTGATTTTCTACCAACTGGTTCACTCCCCAAATGACCCTAACAGTCAGGGTTGGGCCAGGAGAAAGCCAGGAGCCAAAACCTCCATCCAGTCTCTCACATGGGTGGCAGGAGCTTAAACACTTGAGTCATTATGCACTGCTTCCCAGAAGCATTAGGAGGGAGCTGGATCGAAGTGAAACAGCAGGGACTGGAATCAGCACTCCAATATGAGATGCAGAAATCCCAAGGAGTGGCTTAACCTGTGGTGCCACAATGGCCACCTCCTTTTTTATCATTTTTTAAGTGTGTGCCATGTGTTTTTTCTGATAAATCAGGAAGGCTTATATTTTGTTCAGATGGTTATTGCTTAAATCATAACTGTTTATAATACCTTTAAAACTTTTTTAACAATATCCATTTTTATCACAAAGAATTATAAATAAATTTATTTACTTATCTTCCTCACTCAATTCCTGGCTCTAGTACTTTACCTCATTATTCTCCTTAATGTTTATCTCTGTTAGATTAGTAAACCACTTATTACTATCTATATTATTTATAATTTTATTATTGTTTAGTAGTAATATAAACTATTAATAATAAATTATTGTCAATTATTTTCAGATTTTTTTTATATGTATGACCTGGTTTTTTACCTTTAAGTGATGTCTTTTATCTAGGAGGGGAAATGTAGAAAAAAATATTCTGCCTTTTACTTACATGGGGGGTGGGGAAAGGCAGCAACAGAACTGTGGCAACTGATGATTGATTGAATGACAGAACATAAATTTGCCTATCATCAAAAACTGCATAAAAGATCTAGAAATAGGAATGTTTTCCTTTTTAACTTCAGGTAAAAGTGTCAAAGGTGAGACCATACATGAAGAAAAATGATCAGATGTTATATAAGGAAAAGTTTGAAACTTCACAGATGACCTTTGCGCACTGCTCCATCCTAGTGCCTCTCCTATCTACAACTTTTCCCTTTACCAGTGATATAAACCAATGTTTATAAAGACAATGGGACAAAAAAAAAAAAAAAAGACAAGGCATACCTCTGCCTCTTCTGACACCAGAGAACTCCTCGCTTTCTCCAGCTCGCTTCTCACGGGGTGGCGCTCCACTGTCACTTCTGCCATCTTCGCCTCCGTGCTTCACTTCACCTTTCCCTTCCACTGCTACCACCTGAATATTCCCAATGCCGCCATTTCCAGTTGACACTTGAACATCTTCAGGAAAACCACAGTTTTCCAAGGGTTTATTGAGATCACCATCCACGTAGTGTTGAAATGGTCCATTGTTTGACATAAAGCTGTCTAAAGACTATATATTTAAAATAATACTCAATTATAAGCAATAAATACAAACATGACAAAATTTTAATCATTAATAGGAAAATACTTTTTTAAAATGTTATTTTACATTATTATGGCAAATAATCTTCTCCTAAAAAATTTAACTGATATTATCCTTCCTATAATACAGGAAAAAAATCAGAAAAGAAATATTCATCGTTCAGCAAAGAACTGAGAAGTTTTGGCAGTACACTGGCCTTGTGAATCAATCACTCATCCAAGAAACATTTAAATCACTATGGTGGGGCCAGTGCCGTGGCTCACGTGGTTGGTCCTCCGCCTGCGGTGCTGGCATCCCATGTGGGCACCAGGTTCTGGTCTCAGTTGCTCCTCTTCCAGTCCAGCTCTCTGCTGTGGCCCAGGAGGGCAGTGGAGGATGGCTCCTGCACTGCATGGGAGACCAGGAAGAGGCACCTAGCTCCTGGCTTTGGATCAGCACAGTACTGGCCATGGTGGCCATTTGGGGAGTGAACCAACGGAAGGAGGACCTTTCTCTCTGTCTCTCTCTCTCTCTTTCACTGTCTATAACTCTACCTGTCAAATAAATTTTTTAAAAAATTTATTAAAAAAATCACTATGGTTATCTAAATAACCATGCTAAACTCTAAGAATACTAACAAGAAAGAGATAGAATCCTGTCTTCAAAAGCTTTAATCTTAATAAGAGTCAGACTTGCCCCAAATGGTGGAGTTAGAAACGTGCCAGGGGATTCCAATAAAATCCCATCAAGGTGGCATGTACCAATGCCATCTCACTAGTCCAAGTGATCAACTTCAGTTCACAAATGATCACACTGATAGGTCTAAGAGTCAAAGGGTTCACACAAACAAGACTAGTGTCTGCTAATACTAACTGATAGAATCAAAAAGGGAGAGAACAATCCAACATGGGAAGTGGGATACACAGCAGACTCATAGAATGGCAGATGTCCTAAATAGCACTCTGGCCTCAGAATCAGCCCTTAAGGCATGCGGATCTGGCTGAAGAGCCCATGAGAGTATTTTAGGCATGGAAAGCCAAGACACTCTGGGAAAAAAAAAAAAAAAAAGAAGAAGAAGAAAAAGACCTAAATGAAAGATCTCTGCGAGTGAGATCCCAGTGGAAAGAATGGGGCCATCAAAGAAGGAGGTACCTTTCTCTGAAGGGAGGAGAGAACTTCCACTTTGACTATGACCCTGTCGGAATAAGATCGAAGTAGGCGAACCCAAAAGGCTTCCATAACCTTGGCAACTCATGACTAGAGCCTAGGGAGATTACTGACGCCATAAACAAGAGTGTCAAATTGTTAAGTCAACAACAGGAGTCACTGTGTACTTACTTCTCATGTGGGATCTGTCCTTAATGTGTTGTCCAATGTGAAGTAATGCTATAACTAGTACTGAAACAGTAATTTTACACTTTGTGTTTCTGTGTGGGTGCAAACTGATGAAATCTTTACTTAATATATACTGAATCGATCTTCTGTATATAAAGATAATTGAAAATTAATCTTGATGTGAATGGAATGGGAGAGGGAGTGGGAGATGCGAGGAGTGTGAGTGGGAGGGAAATTATGTGGGGAGGAAAGCCAATGTAATCCATAAACTGTACTTTGAAAATTTATATTTACTAAATAAAAATAAATAAATAAAAAAATAAGAGTCACAGAAGATTATATATCATTTGGTAAGTGTTAAGAAAAAGATGGGGGCCAGCACTGTGGCATACTGGGTAAAGCCACTGCCTGCATTCCGTACGGGTGCTGGTTCAAGTCCTGGCTGCTCTTCTTCTGATCCACCTCTCTGCTTGGAAAAGCCATAGAGGATTCCAGTAGAGGATTGCATAAGTCCTTGGGCCCCGTACACGCATGGAAGACCTGGCCAACTGGGGAGTGAACCATCGGATGGAAGACCTCTCTCTCTCTCTCTCTTTCTTTTCTTTTTTTTTTTTTTTACAGGCAGAGTAGACAGTGAGAGAGACAGAGAGAAAGGTCTTCCTTTTCCATTTGGTTCATCCTCCAATGGCCACTGCGGCCGGCGCATTGTGGCCGGCGCACTGTGGCCGGTGCACCGAGCTGATCCGATGGCAGGAGCCAGGTGCTTCTGCTGGTCTCCCATGCAGGTGCAGGGCCCAACGACCTGGGCCATCCTCCACTGCACTCCCAGACCACAGCAGAGAGCTGGACTGGAAGAGGAGCAATCAGGACAGAATTTGGCGCCCCAACCGGGACTAGAACCTGGAATACCGACACCGCAGGCGGAGGATTAGCCTAGTGAGCCGCAGCACCGGCCTCCCTCTCTCTTTCTCTCCCTATCCTCTCTGTGTGTAACTCTTTCAAATAAAAATAAATAAATCTTTAAAAAAAAGAAGAAAATCAATGGTTGACAATGGTCAAGAGAAGACAAAAAAGATGAAGATCTCCAGACAGGTGGGAGGAAATACAAAAGCAAAGCAGGGAAGAACATCACATCTACTGAGGTGGGAAGAAAGGTGGCAAGGAATAAGGAGATGGAGCACCATAAAGTTGACAGTTATAAAAAGTGTCAAGTCATGAAGTTGGCAGAAAAACAACCAGCTTCTATCTTCTCGATACAGTATGAGACAAAAGTGTTTGATGGAAGCAAGGGCAAAGGTGGGATGGGACTACTGGGAATGTGACCCCATGTACACCACCAGTTCTAGAACTGCGTGTGCTTTCAAATGCTTATCAAAGTGTGGTGTGTGGATGAGCAGCATTTGCATCGGCTGAGAGCTTGTTAGAAAAGCAAAGGCATGGATGGCACCCCAGACCTAGTAAATCAGAAACTCTGGGGTTAATGCCCAGGAACCCATGGCCTAAGAAGCCCCCTGGTAAGGTATGATAAGCACCGTTAAGACATAGAGGAATTGTTTAATACAGTGCAGAAGAAAACTCTAAAAAATTCTTTTTTTCTTAGAAATCTAACCTACCTGACAAAACTGCAAGTGTACTGGTCTGCATCAGTAATACCAGCTTGCTATCACACCAGCATATGTATGTGTGTAACAGTACTTCCAAAGCCATTATTTATTCCACTAAGTGATTATTCAAGACCTGGGTTCAGTTTTATTTATTTATTTATAATGATTTACATATATATATATATATATTTGAAAGGCAGAGTTACAGAGAGACAGACACACACATACACACACACACACACACAGAGAGAGAGAGAGAGAAAGAGAAAGAGAGAAAGAGAGAGAGAAAGAGAGAGAGAGAGAGAGAGAGAGAGAGAGAGTTCTTCTACCTGTTGGTTCACTCCCCAAATGGCTGCAACAGCCAAGACCAGGGCAAGCCCAAGCCAGGAGCCAGGAACTTCTTTTGGGTCTCCCACATGGGTGCAGGAGCCCAAGTACATAGGCCATCTTCTGCTACTTTCTTAGTCACATTAGCAGGGAGCTGGATCACAAGTGGGCAGCTGGAACACGAGCCAGCATTCATATGGGATGCCAGTGTTGCAGGCAGTGGCTTAACCTTCTATACCACAATGCTGGCCCCCAGTTCAGTTTTAGATTCTGCAAAGTAATATGCATAATAACTGAGTCTTTCAAAATTTCTACCTTTTAGAAAGGGATCCATAAAGTGCTCAATTTATTTAAACTAAGAGCCAGCATTGTGGTATAGCCTTTAAGCCTCTTGTGACACTGACATCCCATGTAAGAGTGCTGGTTCAAGTCCCAGCTGCCTCATTTCTGATTGAGTTCTCTGCATGTACTTGGGAAAGCAGCAGAAGATGATCCAAATACTTGGTCCCTGCTACCCTCATGGGAGACCTGGATGGAATTCCAGGCTCCTGGCTTTGGCTTGCCCCAGCCCCAGCTGTTATAGCCATTTGAGGAAAGACAGATCTCTTTTTCTCTCAGTCTCTCCCCCTCTGTCATCTGCCTTTCAAATAAATAAAATATATCTTTTAAAAAACAAAACTTGGGCCAGTGTGGTGGTGTAGTGGGTAAACCCGCCACCTGAAGTGCTGGCATCCCATATAGGCGCCAGTTCGAGTACTGGCTGCTCCACTTCAAATCCAACTCTCTGCTACGGCCTGGGAAAGCAGTAGATCACATCTAGGGTACTCATTTGCATTACAGCTTAATATTGTTATGTGTTTTCCAAATGTGAGGAAACTAAGAAGTAGACTTAACTGCACTGTGAAATGAAAATGAAAAGTATGGAAAACATTAAAATATTATCATTATTATTTCAGGGAGGCAAAGATAAATGATTTTATATATAAGACACACTGAATTATATTAGAATAGGACTAGGGGGCCGGCACCGCGGCTCACTAGGCTAATCCTCCACCTTGCGGCGCCGGCACACCGGGTTCTAGTCCCGGTCAGGGCGCCGGATTCTGTCCCGGTTGCCTCTCTTCCAGGCCAGCTCTCTGCTGTGGCCAGGGAGTGCAGTGGAGGATGGCCCAAGTCCTTGGGCCCTGCACCCCATGGGAGACCAGGAGAAGTACCTGGCTCCTGCCATCGGATCAGCGCGGTACGCCGGCCGCAGCGCGCCGGCTGCGGCGGCCATTGGAGGGTGAACCAACGGCAAAGGAAGACCTTTCTCTCTCTCTCTCTCACTGTCCACTCTGCCTGTCAAAAAAAAAAAAAAAAAGAATAGGACTGGGGAAGAAGAGTAAAAGGATGTAAAACTATCCAAGAGAGGGGCCAGCCCTGCAGCACAGTGGATTAAGCTGCAACCTGCAACACTGATATCCCACATGAGAGCAGGTTAGAGTTCCCACTGTTCCACTTCTGATCCAGCTCCTTCCTAATGCTCCTGGGAAAGCAGTGGAAGACGGAACAAGTGCTAGGGCCCCTGCCCCTGATGTGGTAGACCTTGATGGAGCCTGAGTCTCAGGTTCCTGGCTTTGGTATGGCCCAGCCTCAGCTGTTACAGCCATTTGGGGAGTGAACGAGTGGACGAAGATCTCTTTCTCTGTTTCTCCCTCTCTTTCAAATAGATAAATCTTTAAAAAACAAACAAACAAACAAAAACTACCAAAGGGAAACACAGCTGTCAAAACCACCCTTGTCAGTATCAGAAAAATTGCTGAAGAGAAAAAAATTATGGTGTTTCATAATTTTTCAATTATTCTCTTGAGACACAGCATCTTAACTGAAATTTGAAAAACAAATGTATTTGCTTCAAAATAATTCAATTTTATCAAACATCTGTGAATATTTCTAATACAGGTATTGGCATAAAGAATTTACCCTCAGAATGGCCATCCTAACTCTTATAGAATATGTAGAAATATGTTAATAAATTATAATAGAATATTTAAATAGTAATTTTTCTTCAAATATTCCAGAATTTTTTATATTTAGAAATCAGACAAAAAACAATTTAAAAAACAAATGTTACACTAATTCTAGAGGTATGTTTTCAAAGTGATGAGCAGCATGTACATCTGTTATTAACAGAAGTGATGCACTGAATTCTGACATACCACTTTGAAAACTTACCAATCAGAAAATGTCATTTTTACCTCTTCTTGTCCAAACTGCTCCATTGAATCACAGTAAACTTCACTATCTGAATCACTTGTCAAATGCTGAATTCCTGAAACATCTTCGACATGATCTTCATTTGTATCTAAAAATGAACACATGCTCAGATAGTATAATTATACTCTAACTCTAATCAAATAAAAATACATTTATTTCCAAAATTCATTAGCTCTGTACTATTTTCATCCTGAGAGAAAAGTTTGATTTACCAAGTCACTCTATAACATCCCAAAACTTTAAATTTGGTTGATAGTTTTTATTTCAAAAGATTACAAGTTATTTTATCATTGAATGCCACAAATACACAGTCCAAATAAAATCTTACAAAGTCTAACAACTTTATAGGAGGAAATCAGCTAAGTAGGCCTAAATTTGGAATGCAACTATCCAAGTTTGGTTGTTACATTAAGAAGTAATGTTTCTTGGTTTCTGAACCAAATTGCAGCAATGTCAATAATTTACCATATACCATGGACTCACTCCCAGGATAGGAGTAACTACATACTCCATATATTATAGACTCACTCCTAGGATGGGAAGATTATAACTTAGACCATTAATTGGAGAACAAAGGCATCATATAATCATAAGTGAAAAGAAACAACAGAGAAAACTGTAAAAATTTCAAAGATTTCATTTTAAGAACAAATACAGAAAAAAAGTCTCAAGAATATAAAACCTCTAACCCTAATTCACTCTGAACTTCAAAGCTATAAATCCTTATAATTTTAATAAACCATAAGCTATTACTAAGAGATTTTAAAATTCTAAACAGTTCCTAAGTATTTTAAAATTATTGAAAGAATATTGTACTCAGCGGAAAGGGATTAGACAAAGACTAGCTGTAGACCATACCTTGGTGAACACAGACAGTGGTTTTTCCAGGTAGCTCCAAGTGCTGATCAACCGGTTTGACTTCTTCAGTCCTTATGCCATTCAAGGATGAACTGGCATGAATGTCTGCCTGTATATCCTGAACAAAACTGTCTTTATCAGAGCCACTGGTCACAATGATTTCCAAGTTTTCATGGCCTGATGGTTTCATGACGATTTTCTTATCTTAGGAGCAAATTGAGAGATTCATAAAAGTTCACAGGCAGTCGGCTTCTGCATATATATCCCAATACCCACAGTCATTTCCCCAACCAAATATGATCATTTTAAACAGTTTAATACTTGCACCTGAGAGATGGGTTACTCTTCAAAAAAGGATTTTTTTTTTTTTTTTTTTTTTGACAGGCAGAGTGGACAGTGAGAGAGAGAGACAGGTAAGAAAGGTCTTCCTTTTGCTGTTGGTTCACCCTCCAATGGCCGCTGCGGACAGCGCACTGCAGCCGGCGCACCACGCTGATCCAATGGCAGGAGCCAGGTACTTCTCCTGGTCTCCCATGGGGTGCAGGGCCCAAGCACTTGGGCCATCCTCCACTGCACTCCCTGGCCATAGCAGAGAGCTGGCCTGGAAGAGGGGCAACCGGGACAGAATATGGCACCCCAACCGGGACTAGAACCCGGTGTGCCGGCGCCGCAAGGCGGAGGATTAGCCTATTGAGCCACGGCGCCAGCTCAAAAAAGGATTTATTAACACTGAGAGCTCACCCCAAACTAAGCTGGCTTCAAAACTGCTTCATTTTACTAAGAATCTTCCAGAATCCCTTTTAAAAAAACACTGTCTGCTGGGGTTGGTGTTGTGGCATAGGAGGTAAAGTTGCCACCTGCAATGTCAGCATCTCATATAGGTGCCAGTTCATGTCCCAACCACTCCACTTCTGATCTAGCTCCCTACAAATGGCCTGGGAAAAGCGGTGAAAGATAGCCCAAATGTTTTGGCCCCTGCCACTCATGTGGAAGACCTCTAAGAAGCTCCAGGCTCCTGGCTTCAGCTACAGCACTGGCTGTTGTGGTCATCTGAGGAGTGACATATGGAGAAAGATCTCTCTTTTTCTGTCTCTCTCTCTCTCTCGAACTCTTTCAAATAAATAAAAATATATCTTAAAAAAAAAAAAAAAACCACCACTCTGTCAAAGTACTTACACTCTCTCATGCAAAGGCAAATTGCTCCATTGAGTGAGCAGTGTGAAAGGGTCCACTTAAGAAAGTGCTGTCATACCTTACTGGAAAGTGAAGGCAAAACTAAGTTGTGCGGTTTTAGTTTCTCCTTCTCCCCTTTTTCTAAAAGTCTTCCCACAAATCTCACTAACAAGGCCTCCATGATTCCAGTGTATCCTATTCTCTAGATTCCATCTGATGTAAGATAATCAGAGTTTCATTCACCTCCTGTCCTTTGTAACATATGCATATTCATATTAGAAACAATACCTTAAAATAATATATGTTTATAGCAACATTCCAGGTATCATGTTTAGAGTAGTAGCTTATTCTTGTCAGCCTTCAATTAGCACCTATTTCATTTGTGCATAGCACTGGCTGTCGTTATGCTCTGTAGTAGAGTCTTTTGGTTCACAGCAAACAGGTTTCAGGGCCATCAGCCCACATCCCACCACACGTACTAATCTCAGTAAGAATGCAGCCCAAATGTCTTCATACTCTTTTATCTTACTTAATGTAAAATTATTGACCCATCATGCAAAAATTACCATTATCACTCTGGTCTGCTGTTTTTATTTCTTCTTGGGCCTCTTCTTCCTCAGACTCAGCTCCACTATCACTGCTTTCAGCTTTGCCATTAACAGTTTTGGCATTTGGAGTAGAAGTTAGAACATTACCAAGATCTAAAACATGAAACAACCAGTTAATTATGTAAATGATAATATATAATAATGTAATTTACAAACAGCACGGTAATTTGCATATTATTAATAAACATTTATATTTTAGGATTTTATACATAATAATATATACATATACATATACAGACAGATCCTTCAAATACAACAAAGTGATACAGCTATCTTAAATCCTTTCTGAACCAAGGCAGAGGATAAGTTATTTTTAAGTTACCATCAATCTAAATAGATCATTCAGTTGAATGATCTTCTCTTCACACAAGGTAAATGAAGAGATATCTGCTATATGCTAGCATGCAGAAAATACTATTTTTGACCCTACCAACAAACTCAATACTATAGTGGGACTCCATTTAAGTACAAAAAAAAAAAAAGTATCCCTTTATTATCTTTAAGGTTTCAGGTTCACAACTTATTATATCTTAAGTTTGAACTTAAAACATCAGTTAACAGGTCAAATGGCTATCCCTATTTTCTACTAGAATCATGGCAGCAGAAGTTTTTGAACCTCTCTTACTCTCCCCATGACAACCACAAAAACCAGTAACAATTTTTGAAAAACCAAAAAATCTACCATCCATGGGCATCTTCAACAAAACCACAGGAATCCCCTAAATGTTTTCAAACAGATGATTGGAGCAAAACTACTTGAGAGCAGCAAAAACAGCATCACTGAGTCCGGCACATTGCATACAGGTTCTGGTTTGAGCCTTAGCTGCTTCACTTCCTATCCAGCTCCCTGCTTATGGGCTTGGGAAAGCAGCAGAAGATGGCCCAAGTCCTTGGGTCCCTCCACCCACAAGGGAGACCCAGAGGAAGCTCTTGGCTCCTGACTTTGGATCAGCCCAACTCCAGCTGTTGTGGCCATTTGGGAAGTGAACCAGGGATGGAAGATCTCTCTCTCTCTCTCTCTCTCTCTCTAACTCTGCCTTTCAAATAAATAAATAAATCTTTAAAAACAAAGAGAAAAATGCATCACTGTAGTTCTGTGATGAGTAAGGGGAAGCAGATGGAATTACTGATGAGCCCTACCTAATATCTAAAAGTCAATATAATACACCAATTAAAAGAATAAAGGAAAAAGGTCACATGATTATTACAACAGATGAAGACAATACATTTAACAAAATCCAACACTTTCATTTTAAAAATACTAAAGAAACTAAGAATATAAGAGAACTTCTTCGATCTAGTGAAGGGCATTAATTAAAAAACTCACAACTAGCATATTATTATAAAAGACTCCTAAAATAAGTAACAAGACAAAGGTGTCTGCTGTCACCATCTCTACTTAATAATCTACTATAAATTTCAGCCAAGGAAATGAGATAACAAAAAGATATAAAAAGCATTCAGGGCCGGCACCGCGGCTCACTGGGCTAATCCTCCGCCTTGCGGAGCCGGCACACCAGGTTCTAGTCCTGGTTGGGGCGCCGGATTCTGTCCCGGTTGCCCCTCTTCCAGGCCAGCTCTCTGCTGTGGCCAGGGAGTGCAGTGGAGGATGGCCCAAGTACTTGGGCCCTGCACCCCATGGGAGACCAGGAGAAGCACCTAGCTCCCGCCATCAGATCAGCGGGGTGCGCCGGCCACAGTGCGCCAGCTGCGGCGGCCATTAGAGGGTGAACCAACAGCAAAGGAAGACCTTTCTCTCTGTCTCTCTCTCTCACTGTCCACTCTGCCTTTCAAAAAAAAAAAAAAAAAAAGCATTCAGATAAGAAAGGAGGAAGTGAAACAATCTGCTTATAGATGACATGCTCTGGTACAGAAAATCTTAAGGAATCTACAAAGCACTTCAAATACAGGTTCAATGAGGATGTGGGATCAACATAAAAAAGTCAACTATATTTCAATAAGTTATAATTAACAATCAAAAATTAAATAGAAAACAATTTATAATGGCATCACAAGAAGAAAATGTTTAAGAATATACTTAACAAAAGAAAATTTATGACTTTATATAGTGCAAATGAAAAAATGATGTTAAAAGAAATTAGCAATCAAAATAAATGGAAAGACATCCTATGTTTGTAGACTGGAAGACAATATTGCTAAGATCACAATAATTCCCAATGATCTACAAATTCAGTGCAATCACTATCAAAATCCTAGCTGACTTTTTTGCAAAAACAGATTATAAAATTCATACAAAATGTGAAGTATCAACAAAACAATCTTTTTTTTTTAATTGACAGATAGAGTTAGACAGTGAGAGAGAGAAAAAGGTCTTCCTTCCGTTGGTTCACTCCCCAAGTGGCTGCTATGGCCAGAACTATGCCGAGAACTAGGAGCCAGGTGCTTCCTCCTGGTCTTCCACACGGGTGCAGGTGCCCAAGCACTTGGGCCATCCTCCACTGCCTTCTCAGGCCACAGCAGAGAGCTAGACTGGAAGAGGAGCAACTGGGACTAGAACCTGGTGCCCATATGGGATGCCGGCGCCGCAGGCAGAGGATTAACCAAGTGAGCCACTGGTGCCGGCCCCAAACAATCTTGAAAAATTACGAAATAGGACACTATTTCCTGATTTCAAAACCTGTCACATAGGTATATTCTACCCATGTGAAACTAATGCATTTGTTCTAACTGTGCTTAAATGGTTATTTTTCTTTTTTTTTTTTTTAAAGATTTATTTATTTATTTGAAAGAGTTACACAGAGAGAGGAGAGGCAGAGAGAGAGAAAGAGGTCCTCCATCCACTGGTTTACTCTCCAGATGGCTGCAATGGCCAGAGCTGCGCCAATCCAAAGCCAGGAGCCAGGAGCCTCCTCCAGGTCTCCCACACACAGGTGCAGGGGCCCAAGGGCTTGTACCATCTTCTACTGCTTTCCCAGGCTATAGCAGAGAGCTGGATCAGAAGAGAAGCAGCCAGGACTCGAACTGGTGCCTATATGGGATGCCGGCACTGCAGACAGCAGCTTTACCTGCTATGCCATAGCACAGGGCCCTAAATGGCTACTTTTCAAAAGATGCTTTGTGTGCTTTTGTTTTTTTTGAAAGGTTTATTTTATTTATGAGATGCCAGTTTAGTATATGAGACGCAGCTCAGAAGGCAGTGGCTTAACCCGTTAGGCTGCAACCCTGGGCCCCAAGATGGTTTCTTTACAAAAAAGTTATGACTGGAGCAGGTGTGTAGCACAGCAGTAAAAGTTGCCACCTGGGATGCCCACGTCCCAAACAGGAATGCCTGGTATCAAGTCCAGGTTCTTTCACTTCCTATTCAGCTTCCTGCTAATGCAGCCCCTAGGAGGCAGCGAGTGGTAGCTCAAGTAATCGAGTTTGTGAGAGACCAAGATAGAGTTTCAAGCTTTGGCCTGACCCAGCCGTGGCTGTTGCAGTCATTTCGGGAACACACCAGTGGATGGAAGATCTCTTTCTGTTTCTCTCATTTGGCTTTCAAATATAATGAAAAAAAAATTAAAAATTTTTTGAAAAGTCATGACTGCCAAGCGGCTTGTTAACTTGGCAATATCTTAGAAAATTATAAACTTCCTTCAAACACTTCTGGTTCCACTTCCAAATTATCTCTCCCAGATGTGTTTCCATAGATATAAAAGGATATATGTACACAGTTACAACAGCATTTTTCTGAAGATCTAAAAGAGAATCTAAGTGGTGTCTATCAGAATGGTTCAGATTAAATGTAGTACAGGTTCCTGATCCCTTACATAACAACCCTTGGATACAGATATGGTGTGTTGGTTTTTTTTTTTTTTTTTAAGATTTATTTATTTATTTGAAAGACAGAGAGAGAAATCTTCTATCCACTGGTTAACATCCTGAATGTCCACAACAGTCAGGTCCTAGCTAAGCCAGGAGCTTGATTTGAGTCTCCCACCTGGGTGGGAAGGAATGAAGATTTGGGCAATCTTCCACTATCTTCCCAGGAGCATTAGCAGGAAGCTGAATCAGAAGCAGAGCAGCCAGGACTTGAACTGGTGCTCATATGGGATGCCAGCATTGCAAGCGGTAGCTTAATTCCCTTTCACTGTACCCCAACACAGGCCCCCTAGATATGTTTTGAAATCCCTAGTTTTCTAATTTTGCAAAGTCCACCTGTTACAAATACTATGTGGCATATTTGTAATCCTCCAATATAGTATCAGGCAGCACTCTTAAAAGATTTTTGCAGGGGCCGGCGCCGTGGCTCACTTGGTTAATCCTCCACCTGTGGCACTGGCATCCCATATGGGCGCTGGGTTCTAGTCCCGGTTGCTCCTCTTCCAGTCCAGCTCTCTGCTGTGGCCTGGGAAGGCACCTGCACCCGTGTGAAAGACCAGGAGGAAGCACCTGGCTCCTGGCTTCGGATCGGCATAGTTCTGGCCATAGCGGCCACTTGGGGAGTAAACCAAAGGAAGGAAGACCTTTCTCTCTGTCTCTCTCACTGTGTCTGCCTCTCTAATAATAAATAAATAAATACATAAATCTTAAAAAAAAAAAAACACTCAAAAACAGTCTCATGTCACTTCACATCAGATTCTGCCCTTAACTGGTTCAAACAGGATGGGTTAACTTGCAGTTAAGCAAGTTCCAAACAACCTTTGGGTTTCAAAACTTTTTAGATTTTTAAATTATAGCTACGTGACAATGGACCTGCATCTTTATTATTATTACTTACTCTTCCTTGCTTAGTAATTAGCTGTTTAAATATCTTCCTCTGTCCAGAAAGCTGGACCACTAAAGCAGGTTCAGACTTACTCCTCTCTGGAATATGCTTGATAATATACTTAACAGAGACAGAATTTTTTTTCTGAACTGAATAAGCATAAACTATAAGGGACACTACTTGTTAATATTTGACTCTTCTAATCATATCAGATCTAGGATGGTTCAGTACAGAGGTATGGCCCATAAGCAGCCACTATCAGTTGAACAGGGTTCATTATTACCGTGAGAGATACAAACTGCAAGGTTATTATGGTGCAGGAAGATCACTGCTCTGAAAAGTTGCAATTCCTGTTTATTATTATAAGATGCCTTATAAACAGGAGTGCCAAAAAAGAGGGGAGGATGCATGCAGGCTGGTTTTTCTTTTGTTTCTTAATATGGAGCCTGGTATTGGCTGTTTTTTTATTTATTTATTTTATTTTTTAGAAACAGGAGGCAGAAAATGAGAGACAGAGATAAAGAATGAGCTATCTCATCTGCTGATTCACTCTTAAAATGCCTACCATAGCCTGAGCTGCACAGGGGACAAAGCCTGCAGCCAAAAAACTCAATTCAGCTTTCCTACATGGTTGGTAGGAACTCAACTCCTTGAGCCATCAGGTGTTGCCACCCAGGATCTACACTGGTGGGCAGCTGGAATTAGGAGCCAGAGCCAGGTATTATATGCAGGTACTCCAATATGGAACACAGGCATCTGACCTGTTGTAGCCACTAGACAAAACAGCTAACCCCACTCTCAGCTCTGCTGATTTTTATATAAAGTATACAGAATTCTCATTTAAACTAACTCATGTGGTCTCATTCACTGGGCTAAGAAAATTTTTTTAAAAAACATGTTTATAGGACCGGTGCCGTGGCTCACTTGGTTAATCCTCTGCCTGCGGTGCCAGCATCCCATATGGGTACCAGGTTCTAGTCCCGGCTGCTCCTCTTCCAGTCCAGCTCTCTGCTGTGGCCCAGAAGGGCAGTGGAGGATGGCCCAAGTGCTTGAGCCCCTGCACCCACATGGGAGACCAGGAGAAGCACCTGGCTCCTGGCTTTGGATCAGCGCAGCGCCTGCCGTGGCGGCCATTTGGGGAGTGAACCAACGGAAGGAAGACCTTTCTCTCTGTCTCTCTCTCACTGTCTATAATTCTACCTGTCAAATTAAAAAATTAAAAAATTAAATAAAAACCATGTTTATAGTTAACAGCAGGAAAACTTGTATTTTATTCAGTTTCTGCTAATATGCAAAATAGATCCATGTCAATCCTTTACTGAGAACATAAAAACAAAATTCTTAAAAAAAAATAGGTTAAGTGAACTCACTGATGTCCTTAGCTTGCTGTGCTGGAGTTAAACCATACTATAAACAAATTGATTAGCTAAATATAATTTAATCTCTGATTTAGCTAAAATAATCCATAAAGCAAAACAGACAACATGCTTTATTGGGGGGCATACATTTGGTGCAGCAATTAAAGGTGTTGCTTGGGACTCCCACATTCTATATTGGAGTGCTTGGGTTGGAATTCCAACTCCACTCTCAATTCCAGCTTCTTGCTAGTGCATACTCTGTAGGCAGGTGATGGCTCAAGTATATGGGTCCCTGACACCCACATGGGAGACCTGCACAGAATTCCTGACTCTGGCTTGGTCCTGGCTGTTGCAGGGGTATGGGGAGTGAACCAGTAGATGGAAGATCTCTGTCTTTCTTTCTCCTTTCAAATAAATAAAAATCAATTTTTTTCAAGAAAGGAAAAATGCAATCCATCATAATAAAAACATTAGTTCTATCAAAATTTTGTACATTATTAACCTGGCATATTTTAATAACTTAAAAATAAGAGTTACAAACTTGGGGCAGGGGCCAGTGTTATGGTGTAGTGGGTTAAGTTAGCATCTGCTTCCAGGTAATACACCCAGGAAAGTGGCAGAACATGGCCCAAGTACCAGGGACTCTGTCACCCATGTAGGAGACCAAGATGGAGTTCCCAGCTCCTGACTTCAGAATGGCCCAACCCTGGCTGTTGCAGTCATTTGGGGAGTGAACCAGTGAATGAAAGATCAGTCTCTCTGTCTCTTGCTCTCTCTCTCTTTCCCCCTGCCCAACCAATGTCACTCTGCCTTTCAAATAAACAAATCTTTAAAAAACAAAATTAAAAAAAAAAAATCAATTTGAGCAGGTTAAGAAACCTGCATCCTGTGTCAAAGTAGCTAGATTCAATACCCAGTTCAGCTTCTTATTCTAGTTGCCTGCCAATGCAGACCATGGCAGGCAACAGGTGATAGCTCAGGTAGTTGGTTCCCTGCCATCACATGGCGGAGCTGGATTGAGTTCCCAGTTCCAGGCTTGAGCCTCAGCACTGCTCAGCCATTGTAGGCATTTGGAGAGTGAACCAGTACATGAGATCACTCTTTCTCTGCCTCTCGAATAAATAAATAAGTAAATAAATAAAAATTTTAAGAGATAAAATCTTGGGACTAGAGTTATAGTGTAGCAGGTAAAGCTGTTGCCTGCAACTCCAGCATCCTATATGGGCACTGGTTCATGTCCTGGATGCTCCACTTCCAATCCAGCTCCCTGATAATGGCCTGGGAAAAGCAGTAGAATGGCCCAGGTATTTGGGCCCCTGCTACTCTCATGGGAGACCTAGAAGAAGCTCCTGGCTCCTGGCTTTGGCTTGGCCGAGAGCTGGTTGTTGCAACCATCTGGGGAGCGAACAAGCAAATGGAAGATCGTTCTCTGTTTTTCCTTTTTTTTCTGTAACTCTTTCAAGTAAATAAATAAATCTTTAAAAAAAGAGTTAAAACCTCATGTGATTATGCAATATTTTGAAATTTCACAAAATGTGATTGGAATGAAAATTCCTGGGTGACAAGCTCCAAAGTTATATAAATTTGTGCAAAATTCTTTTGGTGTGTAAATTTTAAACAAAGCTTTTATATGGATTTCATTATTCCTACCTTCTAAATATTTAGAGATTTTCTCCAATCGGACTGGCATGTGAAAGTAAAAATACAAATTAGATATTAAATATTAATGCATGTGTAATATCTGTTGCTGAATTTAAAATGATAAAATGGTCCAACCTGAGGTGAAATCAGAGCTCCTGCCACTCTTTTTATCCTCTACAATTTCATAAAATGGACCTATGACATGCAGCAGTTCTTCAACTTTCTCAGTCATCGGCATAGTTTCAAGAATCTGTAATTAGAGGAAACAAATATTGTGAAATCACAAAATACAAATTTCATCTACATTACTTCAAATAATCTACGAGCTCAAATTTCTCCAGCCTTTGAGATTTAAAATTCATTAATACTCTCCCAAAAGGACTTACATTAATTACATACTTAAATACATATGATGCAAGAAAGACTCCAGAACTCATATATTAAAGATCTAAAAGGAATCTCATTTTAAGACTATTTTACATAAGCCTCATTTAACACTTCACACAATAACCTATAAACTCTACATAAAAAGTTAGGGAATTTAATTAAATAGAATTGAATACCATGGGGTTAGCATAAAATTATGATGTCTGTTCTTTAGCACCACGGGTAGTATTTTTTAAAAGATTTATTTTTATTTATATTTATATTTATTTTTTAAAAGATTTATTTTTATTTTTATTTATATTTATTTATATTTACAGAGAGGCAAAGGTAGAGAGAGACACAGAGATGTCTTCCATCTGCTGGTTCATGCCCCAAATGGTCACAATGGCTGGAGCTGGGCTGATCTGAAGCCAGGAACCTAGAGCTTCTGAATACTTAAAATTTTTAATATAGTTTTGATATACAGTAAATATTTAACTTTTAATGAATTCCAAATCCTGATAAGAAAAAGATTGTTCCTGTTTTATTTTTTAAAAGCATACTACTGGCTGGTGCCGCAGCTCACTAGGCTAATCCTCCGCCTTGCGGCGCTGGCACACCGGGTTCTAGTCCCGGTCGGGGCGCCGGATTCTGTCCCAGTTGCCCCTCTTCCAGGCCAGCTCTCTGCTGTGGCCAGGGAGTGCAGTGGAGGATGGCCCAAGTGCTTGGGCCCTGCACCCCATGGGAGACCAGGAAAAGCACCTGGCTCCTGCCTTCGGATCAGCGCGGTGCGCCGGCCGCAGCGTGCCAGCCGTGGCGGCCATTGAAGGGTGAACCAATGGCAAAAAAGAAGACCTTTCTCTCTGTCTCTCTCCCTCACTGTCCACTCTGCCTGTCAAAAAAAAAAAAAAAAAGCATACTACTTATCGTATCATAGGTATTTTGCATAGTAGTGAAACCACTGGTTAGGACACCTTCATTCATGCAGGTACAGATTCTAGATTCCAGATTCCAGATTCTAGATTCTGGATTCTAGAGCTGACCCCATTCCCAATTCCAGATTCCTACTAATGTGGAGCCAGGAGCTTCTTCTGGGTCTCCCAGCAGGTGCAGGGACCCAAGCATTTGGGCCATCTTCTACTGCTTTCCCAGGCCATAGCAGAGAGCTGGATCAAAAGTAGAGCAGCTGGGACTCCAACCAGCGCCTATATGGGATGCCAGCACTGCAGGAGGCAGCTTTACCCTTTTGCCACAGTGCTGACCCCAGGGGTAGACTTTCTAAAAAGGCACAACAGTTGGACATGGTTACCACTTTTTGACACCTTCACAACTATGGGCCAAACTCAGATCATCAAATTGAAAGAGCCAGGTAAATAACTGAAAAAGCAGTCAACCCAATAAGCAGCAACTGGTGAATGAGCAGGAAATTAAAGAACTTTTACATATGAAGTATCTTTTAATATTTAAAGAATAAATTAGCTGTGTGTGTTAATTAAGAAAATATTTCTAATTTTTCTTTACAGGAAAAAAGGTAGTTGCTACACAGTATAATCGGTGTGATATCAATATTAGTTTCCTTTCTTAATAATAAGTATTTATTTCCTCTCTGAATACATTTACAAAACATGACTAAAAGTAATTACTACTACAGAGTGAAAAGAGAGGGAATGGGGAAGACCTTATATTCATTGTATACATGATTCTTTTTGCATTTATACATACATATTATTTTTATTATTAAAATAATCAAATCTATTTAAAAATTTTTAAATTTATTTATTTGAAAGGCAGAGGAAAGAGAAAGAGAACGAGTCCCCATCTGCTGGTTCACTCTCCAAATGCCTGCAACAGCTGGGACTAGGAAAGTCTGAAGTCTAGAGACAGGAACTCAAGCCATTTTTTTGACCCATGTGGGTGGCAGGAACCCAGTTATTTGTGCCATCTCCACTGCCTCCTAGGGTCTGCATTATCAGGAGCCCAGGTTCCCCAATATGGGAGATAACCATCTTAACAGGCATCTTAACTACTAAATTGTCTCCAAATTTCTTACTTTTAAGCAAGCAAAATCTTTTATTCTTCTTACATATTTTTCAACTTATATGCAGTTTTAAAGTGGCTACTTGTATCTTTAAAACTCACAGTAACCCTGGATTCGTTAGTCACTCTCCCTATTTTCCTGATTGTTTACTCCCTGTCTTGCACAATAGACTGTATGCTCAGTGAAAAGGGGCCTTCATCTGTTTTCATTCACTCTCTGATTTCCAGTGTTCAGAATACAGAAGACATTTAATAAATAAGCCAGCTTAAAACTCCAAAATTCTTGTACAAACAATGCTTTTATTTCTAAACCAAAGGCAGATAGATCATGAACAGTCGGAGATAATCAGAAGCTATGATATGATTTTGAGCTTAGATATGCACACAGAAACTATCACTCACACAATGTGCACATGTGGGTGAGGGGAAGGTTACTGAGAGAGATTATACAGAATGAACAAGATTTATTATAATTGGCTTTAGTGACATAATTTATTTATATAACTCATCATAAATTATCTAATTGCTGTATGAGTTAATGAGAGTAAAAAGAATGTTTTATCATAATTTTTTTTTTTTTTTAACAGGCAGAGTGGACAGTGAGAGAGAGAGACAGAGAGAAAGGTCTTCCTTTGCCGTTGGTTCACCCTTCAATGGCCGCCGCGGCCGGCACGCTGCGGCCGGCGCACCACGCTGATCTGATGGCAGGAGCCAGGTACTTATCCTGGTCTCCCATGCGGGTGCAGGGCCCAAGCACTTGGGCCATTCTCCACTGTACTCCAGGCCACAGCAGAGAGCTGGACTGGAAGAGGAGCAACCAGGACAGAATCCGGTGCCCTGACCATAACTAGAACCCGGTGTGCCAACACCGCAAGGCGGAGGATTAGCCTAGTGAGCCGCGGCGCCAGCCTATCATAAAATTTGCCAAGGCAAATACTTGTTATGAGGCTAAGGCTATGGGGGCAGGGCATTTTTACAGATATCTGATTTATAATTCTGAGAATTAGGTTCAAATCCGAAACTGAAACCATAGGGTAATGTTTACTTTGACATAACCAAAGTCAGAGCAAAGAAATGGCAGAGACCATTCAAATGTAAAGTCAGCACCTTTTACACTACTCATTCAGTAGAACCTGGTAGGCCAACCACCATCTTGATCCCCATTCAATATCTTCTCTGATCCTCCTCCAAAACTGCTTTTAGTTCTATTTCAATTAAAGCTTATAAAAAAATCTTTCTCAAATTTGTCCTTTGTAGAGCTGCTTCATTCAGTGTTTGAGTTTCTGAAACTCCACAGAAAGGATTATGGACCTCCTGATGTCAGAATTAAATAAATGGATTATGTGAGAGCACTGTTCAAATATAAACAGAGTATTTATTTTTTCAGTAAGCTAGAGTTTTAATAGCAGACAGTACAAAAGTAACTGGGCAAGATATACCCAGAATTAGAGATTTCACTCTCTAAATTAGAGACACTTAAAAAAAATATGACCAAGAAGTTCCTAGCCATTTGCGAAGTTCTCACACACACAGAAATGTTGAAATACGGGAAATGGCATGCAGGTGCACACCCCCCACACCCACACAACATGATAAAGAGACAGAGACACACATTCAGACAAACCCAGGCAAACCTGTCTACTCACCCTCAGAAATCTTATCTGATGTTAATTAAGTTAATTAAATACATTATAACCTGTGCAAATGAAGAGTGGGTAACAAATATTTGGTAAATCATATATATTATAGAAAAATAGCATTGAAAACATAATAATGTTTTGGGTTATCTAGCACTTTTCCTTGATGACACACATTTTTAGATCATGAAAATGTCCTGGAAAAGTACCGATATATTCAGTTAAGGCAAAGACTAAATTCCTCAGTCTTTTTTGGTACAGGATGAAAACACAGGTTTTTTTTGTTTTATTTTTATTTACTTGAAAGGAAGAATGACAGAAAGATGGTATAGTTTTAATATTTTGCAGGGGCAGGGATGGAATGCATATTATCTCATCGACCTCACACTTAAAACTGGTTATACCATTAGTTAATAAAATCAGATAGGAAAAATAGGGAAATTTTACTTAATGTTTCAATTTGACTTTATATTACAGAAATATATCCTAAGAATTAAAATGACACCTAAGGTGGCTGGCACTGTGGCATAGTAGGTAAAGCTGCTGCCTGCTACGCAGGCATCCTATTCGAGTCCCGGCTGCTCCACTTCCAATCCAGCTCTCTGCTACAGCCTGAGAAAGCAGTGGAAGATGCCCCAAGCCCTGGGCCCCTGTACCCTCACAGAAGAGCCAGAAGAAGCTCCTAGCTCCTGGCTTCAGATCAGCTCAACTCTACCCACTGCAGCCAACTGGGGAGTGAGCAGCAGATGGAAGACCTCTCTCTTTCTCTCCCTCTCTCTCTTTCTCTGCCTCTCTGTAACTCTGCCTTTCAAATAAATAAATCTTTCAAAAAAAATGACACTTATGTAAAGAAAAAACAATAATTAATGAAACCAAAAAGGCTTTGGGTTATCTTTCTCTGACTCTGAAAGGCTCCTTTGTTATTGATAGAGTTAACAGGAATTAAACTTTGCCCTTTGTTGTAGATAAAGTCCACTAAATAAAAATTGTGAAAACGTAACAAAGGGCACAACTTTCAGCAACACAAAAGAGGTTTAAAGAAGAAAACAAGAAAAAAAAATTGGTCTGATTACATCATATAGAAACTTCACAACTTCTGAACTATGTCTAAAAATGGTCCTTAATAAAAAGTCTTTCAGGTCATCTTTAAAATCCATGCTTTCTTAAAAAATTTATTTCTCAAAATGATGTGGTAGGCAGACCTGAAAGAGCTAGGTAATGAGGAATGCCTCCCCTTAGTAGTTAAGCAGAGAACCTAACAGTACCCTTATCTTACTCTGCTTCTGAAAGATCTATGCATTCACAGAAAATCTGCTGCGGCGGTTAAGATGCTCTGATGCCCACATCACTGTGAAGTGTCTGAGTTCCAGTCCCAGCTCTGCTCCTAATACAGGCATCCTTCTAATGCAGACCCTGGGAGGCAGCAGGTGATGGCTCAAGTGGTTGGGTCCCTGCCACCCACACTGGGAGACTTAGTAGCTGGCTTCCAGGCATTCGCCTCGAACAAGTGGATAGGAGGTCTGTCTGTCTGTGTCTCTCTGCCTCTAAAATAAACAATTTTATTAGAAAATAAAAACACTGGGGCCAGTGTCGTGGCACAGCAGGTTAAGCTGCCTCCTGCAGCACTGACATCCCATATGGGCTCTGGTTCAAGTCCTGGCTTCCACTTCCAATTCAGCTCCTTGCTGATGCACCTGAGAAAGCAGCGGAGGATGGCCCAAGTGTTTAGGCCCCTGCACCCACATGGGAGACCTGGAAGAAGCTCCTGGCTCCTGGCTTTGGGCCTAGCCCAGCTCCGGCCATTGGGGCCATTTGAGGAATGAACCAGCAGATGGAAGATCAATCTCTCTCTCTCTCTTTCTCTCTCTCTCTCTTTTTCAAATAAATAAATATTTTCAAAAAAAAGAAAGAAAATAAAAATACTTGTTACTGAAAAATCCAATAATGAGATTATATCAATTAACTGGTAAAAACTTGTATGAGAATATTACCGGGCAGTTTTGTTAACTATTTCTCTTAAATAAAAAAGGGCAAAGCAGGGCCGGTGCCTTGGCTCAATAGGCTAATCCTCCACCTTGCGGCGCCGGCACACCGGGTTCTAGTCCCGGTTGGGGCGCCGGATTCTGTCCCGGTTGCCCCTCTTCCAGGCCAGCTCTCTGCTATGGCCAGGGAGTGCAGTGGAGGATGACCCAGGTGCTTGGGTCCTGCACCCCATGGGAGACCAGGAAAAGCACCTGGATCCTGGCTCCTGCCATCGGATCAGCGCGGTGCGCCGGCTGCAGCGGCGGCCATTGGAGGGTGAACCAACGGCAAAGGAAGACCTTTCTCTCTCTGTCTCTCTCTCTCTCACTGTCCACTCTGCCTGTCAAAAATAAAAAAAAAATAAAAAAAAAAAAAAAAGGGCAAAGCAGAAATGCTTTCAAGATAGTCCAGGTACTTCCCAGATCCCTGAGAAAATGACATTGATATTTTTTTAAAGTCCTTTTCCTATACTGTCTCCAGAAGTCAACTATAGAGACAAGGAAAATGAAAATAAAATAAAATAAAATAAAAAACTGATAAATCCTAATAAATTCAATAATCTAGACTTTATAGTATAATATACTGTGGTCTCCTTGTTTAAAACAAAGCAGCTAACTTATCTGATAAATTAATGGCAACTGTTCTTAATATTGTTATTTCCTACTGTGAATTATTTTCTTACCTTTTTCATTTCTTCAACATATGCAATCATGGCTTCCTCTTTGGTCATATCACCCAGTGAACTCCAAGCATCCCTAGAAATGAAAATATCCAAATAAGAATGAGAGACATCTGGTTTTCCATTCCTCATATTATGTCTCCAAAAGATCTCTTTGAATGTGTCACCTTGAAGAAAACTATCACAGGAAATAAACAAGATAAACAGTATTTAAAACTAATAAATATATATCCTACTTATATTTTAAAAGACCACAAAGACTGTACACTATTCATGAATATTTTCTAAGAACTCTTAATATCATTGTAAGTAATAACCGAAATGAACATTTTAGAAGACTATGAACTATCACAGCCATGTTCTATCAGTTGTGGGAAACCTTTTTTATATCAAGGGCCATTTGGATATTTATAATATCATTCACAGGCCATACAAAATTATCATGCCAAAAATTAACCTGTTACAGATTTATTGAATTTCGGATCCCACTTCTAGTTGTGTTGGTAGTCCAGACCAAATGATTTCGTGGGCCTTAGACAATCCTCATCCCCAAATGATCACAAGTTTCACTTAGAAGTTTCTACTAATTGATTAATCACTAATTAATCCTAACTTACATATTTGGACTAAAAATGAAAATGGTTTCTCACTTCTAAAATAAAAATGTCAGGGACAGGAAAACTTTAAACCCCCAGGTAATAAGAACAGTCCTTGGAAATTTTTGCCTAACACAAAAACTGCTAAACTTTTTATGTTTTGTCCAGTAGGAGTATAACTCTACCAAAGATCAGTTCTGGGGAAAAAAAATGAAGCAGACAAATTTTCTCAAAATGGACATATCAAATAGCATATTACTATTTCATTAAACTATTACTTTGCTACTATTCATAAAGATCCTACTGGAAATGTATAGTACTAAAAGATCATCAAATGAATTGATAGTCCTTCCCATTCTCAAAGAAAAATTTAGCATGTAGGGGCTCTTAAAACATAATTCCTCAATTAGCATACTGTGCTGACAAAGTGTAGTCTAAAACTTCTATAAAGTCTTCAGTAATATGAAGGACCCAATAGTTCTAGCAGTTTAAAGAGATTTTCTGAAGTGCGCTCATATTTAAGGGTAACAAATATTAGTCAATTGGGAAAATGGCAGAGGTACCTCAATAGTTTATGATTCTTTCAAGCATATTAAAAATCAAATTTGTGTTCTAAAGTCAAGTAGGTTAAGAGTGACAGCTGAGATAAAAAGTTAATGTGGCAGCACCCGAGTCATAATCCTAGTTATTTATTATCTTAAAGTCTCAAAGCAAACAGTGTCACTTGAAAAGCAAGTCATTCTTTTTCTTGGCAGCTAAAAGAGGCAGAGAAGTTTGTTTCTTTAATTTAGTTTGGGAATTGGTCTTACTATTTTCCTGTCTTCCCCAGCATTTTCTTGTTTGTGTAAAATTCTATGACAAGAGCATGGAGAATAAAAATTACATCTGGGACAGTCTGTGTCCAGAATTAATATATAACCATGTAAATAAGAATTATAAGATCATCAGTTCATCAAAATGAAATTGTTTTTTATATCTCTATAAGTAAAATTACCATTTGTATCTTCCAATAGGATCCCAGAACCCAGGCCTTGAAAGTTTACAGGGTCCTTCAGTTGCCTGTTTGTAGAAGCTATAGAACTTGAGCATCATTTCATTTGTTGGCTGGAATGAACCTATTGGAAACATACATTAAATATACAGATCACTTGGGGTTACAAATTAGCATAGCTATACAGTAATAATAGTGATTTTATATTTCATTAATAGTTCGGATAATAATTTATTTCTACCTTATAAAAATAAAATTTGTCAGTTTTATTAGTTACGTTGCTAATTTGATTTTTTTTAAGTTATTTATTTATTTCAGAGGTAGAGTTACAGACAGTGAGAGGGAGAGACAGAGAGAGAAGTCTTCCTTCCACTGGTTCACTCCCTAGATGGCTGCAATGGCCGGAGCTGTGCTGATCCGAAGCCAGGAGCCAGGATCTTCTTCTGGGTCTCCCACGTGGGTGCAGGGTCCAAGGACTTGGGCCATCTTCTACTGCTTTCCAGGCCATAGCGGAGAGCTGGATTGGAAGAGGGGCAGCTAGGACTAGAACCGGCGCCCATATGGGATGCCGGCCCTGCAGGTGGAGGATTAACCTACTACGTCATGGCGCCGGCCCTGCTAATTTTATTTTTTAAAAACCCTGAGATTTTTTTGTTACAGCACTGCCTAACACAAATGCTCAATAACAAAAGATTACCTAAATACATATCCTATTAAGTATAACCAAAATAACCACCAAATATCACTTACATCACAAATGTATTAACATATAAGAATAACTTTATTATACATGGTAAAGCTATAAAAAATTAAAGCTGAGTAGCATAAATGAGAATAACAGTAAGTATAAAAATACTTACTTTGCCAAAATACATGTTGTATATTCTGTTTTTAAACTACTTTTTCTACCAAATTTTATATTATGAAACTTCCCATGCCATAATTTCTCTTTCTATAATTTTATTAGATTGTAATGATTTATAATTAAATGTATACTTTGGTTAATAAAATCACAACAGTAAAAATTCAATACCTCTTAGCCAAATTTCAATTTCTCAATACACAGAACTTTGGCTAAAGGCAATCATATGATGGTACAAAAAGAATCAATCTAATGTGAAATAGATTTCTTATTGCCTACTTCTGAAGACATCAGTTTCTTTAAAGATAAGCCTTCAGGGACAGTGCTGTGGCATAGAGGGTTAAGCTGCTGCCAAAAGTGTTGGCATCTCATATGGGCGCCGGTTCAAATTCCAACTGCTCTACTTCCAACCCAGCACCCTTTTAATGTACCTAGGAAAGCAGTGGAAGACGGCCTAAGTGTTCGGGGCCCTGCACCCACATGGGAGACCCAGATGAAGCTCCTGGCTCCTGGTTTCCATTTGGCCTAGCCTTGGCTGTTGTGGCCATTTGGGGAGTGAACCAGTGGATGAAAGACCTCTCTCTCTCTTGCCTCTGCTTCTCCCTCTCTATAACTCTGCCTTTCAAATAAGTAAATGAATCTTAAAAAGAAAGAAATAAGAGGGGTCAGCTCTGGGTCATAGTGGGTAAAGCCAACATCTGCAGCGCCTGCATCCCATATAGGTACCAGTTCAAATCCCAGTTGTTCCACTTCCAATCCAGCTCTCTGCAATGGCCTGGGAAAGCAGCAGAAGATGATGCAAGTGCTTGAGCCCCTGCACCTGCTGGGAGACCCAGAAGATGATCCTGGCTCCTGGCTTCAGATCAGCCCAGCCCTGACCGTTGTGGCCATTTGGGGAGTGAAACAGCAGATGGAAGATATCTCTCTCTTTCTCTTCCCCTTCTCTCTTTGTAACTTTTCCTTTCAAATAAGTAAGTAAATCTTTAAAAGAAAAAATGATGTCTTCATGTGAGTTTCTAGCATATCTATAACCCTTTTTATGTCCCAAATTTTCAAATTACATGAACAAGTATTATGAATTACAATACTTGAAATTGCAGTGAAAAACTGATGTTTTATAATAAATAGCTTGCTAAATAGACATATATATATAAAATATCTTATAATTAAAGCCCTAAAAAACATAGCACAGAAAAATGTAAATGGCAAGGAGTTTCATAATTCACAATATGAGAAAAACAGCACTATAAAACAGCAAATACAGTATCACCCATTTTTGCAAAATAAGTGTTCATATTCACAAAAATAAAGTAGGAAAAAGTACATCAAAAAGTTAAAAAAGGAGTGCTCTCGATATCAGGTATACAGATAATTTTATTTCCCTTTTTCTTGTATTTATAAAGTTTAACATCAATGTGTACTACTTCTAAAACAAAAATCATTATAAAAATAAATAAGTCTACAGAAGACATTTTTAAACTTGGTAGATTGAATAATAAACAGATAACGAGTAATCAAAAGCTAGTTGCTCATAAAAGCTGTAGAAATTAAGATACAGACAAGCAGAGAGCAGTGTTTCAGGTTTGGCCAAGGGTACAGTTCAATTCCAAAATCATGATAATTATCTATCTATCTATACAAATTTAGGAGTATCTATTAGATAAAGTGTATTAGTGATACGGTTCCTCTTTATATAGCAGAGGGAAAATTGGAGAAATCAAAGGTAAAGATGGTTACCTACTTATCACAAACCTAAATTTAAAATGTTAAAAGCAGAGCCGGTGCTGTGGCATAGTAGGCTAAGCCTCTGCCTGCAGCGCTGTCAGCATCCCATATGAGCACCAGTTCCATGTCCCTGCTGCTCCTGGACTGATCCAGCTCTCTGCTATGGACAGGGGAAGCAGCAGAAGATGGCCCAAGTGCTTCAGTTCCCACACCAGTGTGGGAAACCAGGAAAATGCTCCGGGCTTCGTTGTGACCATTTGGAGAATGAACCAGCAGATGGAAGACCTTTCTATCTCTCCCTCTCTCTGTCTGTACTCTCTACCTCTCAAATAAACCAATAATAAAATCTTTTTTAAAAAAATGTCAAAAGTTTCATTTCTCACAATATCTTCAGTAAATGAAACAAGTAAGATGTAGAAGTCTATTGGCTTAGGTGAATTAAAAATACATTGAAACAAAACCTGAGAATATTAACTGAATATATTCTGTGTATAAGGCAGTAGATAAAGTATGGTCTCTGTTCTCAAAGTGCAACATGTGGTACAGTTAGTATATGTTTCTGAAATACTAAGAATTTAAATTTCTAAAAGCCAAATTCACATTAAATATAGATGCCTATGCCTTAAAGATTAAGCAATAAGGAACACAAATACTACGAGATCTTACTCTTTGTAAAATATTTCAGGGCAGACCAAATTTTTTCAGTAGTATTATAAATAATTTAATAACTCACTTAAAAAAAAACCTCTTGGCTCAATTAATCTTAATTCAGTTTCAAGGGATAACAGTATACTGGATGTTATCCAATAAAAGTGCCATTTGGCAGAGTATCTTAATTTTGCAATAGCTTCTTAAATGTTATGTAAACACAGAATATATTCTTCATAAGTGGAATGTAATGTCAACAAAGATAATGGGCTGCAACTATCAAGGACAGCTTTAGCAATTTTCAAAAAAAATCAAAACATGAACATACTATCAACATAAAACTCTTAGATTCATGTCTTTCTGTAAGCTATCTTAACCGAGCATTTAAAAAATTAACAACTAGCCGGCGCCGAGGCTCACTAGGCTAATCCTCCGCCTTGCGGCGCCGGCACACCAGGTTCTAGTCCCGGTCGGGGCGCCAGATTCTGTCCCGGTTGCCCCTCTTCCAGGCCAGCTCTCTGCTGTGGCCCGGGAAGGCAGTGGAGGATGGCCCAAGTGCTTGGGCCCTGCACCCCATGGGAGACCAGGCAAAGCACCTGGCTCCTGCCATCGGATCAGCACGGTGCGCCGGCCACAGCACGCCAGCCGCGGCAGCCATTGGAGGGTGAACCAACGGCAAAAAGAAGACCTTTCTCTCTGTCTCTCTCTCTCACTGTCCACTCTGCCTGTCAAAAAAAATAATAAAATAAAAAGAAATAAAAAATTGACAACTAAATAATTCATATAGTGTGTCTACATTGTTTATTCTTTCTTATCTTTCAATCTTTCATATGTTCTCCAATGGAACATTTGAAATTACAAAACAAACGCTAGTTCATGTATATCTGCTTTGAAAATTTTTTGAATCTGCACTTAATAAATTTTATTGAATGAACTGTGGTAAATATGCGTTAGGCAAATAATTAATGGAAACAAAGAACAAGATATTAAATACTATAATAATATATTAATGTTACATCCAGTTGGCTTTGCAATTCTGGTACAGTAGTAGTACTTAAACACATTTAAAAACATATATGTTGATTGTGAAAAACAATTCTTGTATCACTTCTCAGCCTTTTGGCTAAGATCAAGTGTAAAAACAATTCTTGTAATGCAGAAGGATATGAATCGAAAGGTAAAAGTCTCCTTCCCCAAGCCTCTACACTCATAAAAAAAAATTAATAATGGCTGAGAACTTCCCAACATTGATCAAACACATAAAATTACAAATTCAAAAAACTCTGCAAACCATTAAACACTGGCAAACTGCTGAAAAACAATGATTAAAAGAAAAATCTTGATGGCAGCTAGAGAAACGACACATTAAATACAAGTAACTCAAACGACTTCCGTCAAGCTGCAAAGCAGGTCCAATGTAACAGAACACTAGTAAAGTAGAATAGCAAAAAAAGGAGGGGGGATATGTTTATGAAAAAAGGAACTATTTTGCAGATGAATGGAACTGTTTTCTCTATGCCTAACAAAAGTGGACAAAATGCATAAACCGTAGACTTGACAAGCGTGTGGCACGGGGCATCCTCATGCGAGATATTTTTTTAACATACCCAAATCCGCAGTCATTAAGTGACAAGACTTTTGCTCAATTACTTGAGATCTGGATAATCTGCAGGTAATTAATTCACATCCGACACGTCCCTTTCAAGTACACTCTTCTTGAAACGCATCAAAAAAAAAAAAAAAAAGTAGGCTACATAAGCAGGACTAGAACCAGAGAGAAGGCTGAGGGCGGCGAGGGTTGGAAACTAGGGCCTCAGGCCTCCACGGGAGGCTGCTTCCGAGGGGCGCAGCGCACCTACCATTTTTCGGCAAACTCTGGATCACCTTCACCGCCGCCTCGAACCTGGTTTCGTGCACCGATCTCGTGCCCGCCATCTCCAGCCGCCAGCGCCGGCCTCCGTCCCAAGGTCTGTCCGCGGGGATCAGGGAGCAGCAGCAGCAGCACCAGCTTTCCCAGGAGCCTGCATGAAACTGGAACATGGAGCGCAGCCGCGGATCAACATGCCCCAAAGGGAGGAGGCCCGTGAGCGCGGCTGGTCAGTTCCCTTTGCCCTGCCCCTATCCAGGCCACTCGGGCCGGGCTGGCCCGGCTCCTTCCCTCCGCCCCGGGGCGTGACCAAGGCCGTGAACCCGACGCGCCGATCGGAGGAAAACAACTCACGGAGAGGAACAGCATCTCCAGGAGCAGGCAGGGCGGGCCCGGCCACCGGCGGTCGCGGAGCCGCTCTCCCACCCGGTGGACCCTGGCCGAGCAGCCACACCCCCCATGCCCGCGGAGACCGTCTGTCCGTCCGCGCCCTGCCCACGCCCCGCCCCACCGGCCCCGCACGACCCACTCGCCGCCGCCGCCGCCGCCGCCGCGCAGCAAACCCCACCTACCCGCCCCGTGGCCGCGGCGGCCACGGCCACGGCCACGGCCACGGCGCGCGCGCTCCGCCCGTCCCCTGGCAACCGAGGAGAGCCGCGGGGAGACGGCGGCCCCGGCGCGGGGCTCGGAGAACGCGGTGCGCGCCTTTGTTCAGGGCCGAGGCCGGTCGGCTGCCCACACGGCGCGCCGGGCACGCGGGGTCGCGTCCCGGGCCTGGGCCCCAGGCGGTGACAGTGACACCGCTGACAGGGCCGGGGGGCGGTTAAAGGGTTGGGAGCGCCTTCAGGAGATGCTGAGCAGCGCTCGGCCCGCGGGTCTCCACAGCTCTCGGGGCGCAGGAGCCGTCGGCGAGGGGCGTGCGCCCGCTCCGCGGCTGGGCCGGGAGGAAAGACCCCTTTCCCCGCACCCCTCTCTCCCTCGAGCCCCAGGGCAGGGCCTTTAAAAGAGCGTTTGGGAGGGTCGTCGAGGAACTGTTAGGGACCGTCCACCCGAGGAGGGGCGCCCTGGGCCGCCCCCTCCCTGGCGCAACCTCTCGGGTCCTTAAGCATTAGGGGGAGCGCTCCTCCACGCCCCAGGCCCCTCGCAGGGGGCAGGGGCTGCGAGGGGTGGAGCCGGCCCCCGGAAATCCCGAGTCCCGCCCCCCAGGTGGGGGTGGTGGTTTTTGTCAGTTCGGGGTGGGTTAGGCGGGTTACGAGCTGGGAACGAGGCGCGGACCCTCAGGCGCGCTGCCCTCAGAGCCGCAGCGCCGGCGTTTACCTCGGTATCGCCGGGCAAGGCCTGTCCCGCACTGTCGCCGACGCCCGGCCCCGCAGACTTGTGGGAAATGTAGTTCCCGGCCGCAGCGCTTCCGCATACCTCCCGTCGGCGGCCGGCGTAGCTCGCCCCGGTTCCGGTTCGGCTCCCGGGGCCCGCGGACGCAGCGGGCGTGCGGCGGAAATCCCTCCTCCCCGCTGTGCTCGCTCCGAATACCACATCCGCTCCCCGCGGCGGGACCCTCGGTGGCGGGAGGCGGGTGGCGCGTGGCGCGTGGCGCTGAGCGTGGCCCCCTGAGACCGACACGGGTGTCCTCGTGCGGCCGGGCTTGGGTCCAAGGCCTGGGGTCGTTTCTGACCCCCGGGGTTGGCCGACTCTGAGGGCTTGTGTGAGATGCCAAGGGTGCTGTTTACGGAGAGCCTCGTGTTGGCTAAGCGTTTGATGCGTATTCCAGAAACGCCCAAGGGTGTTGACCAATGAGGAAATCCAGCCTTATTAACTGATTTGCCCAAGGTCCCACAGTTTAGTAAGGAGCAGAGCCAAGAGTCAGGCCGGAAAACGCTGGCTGTAAGTCTTCGACTCTGCCCAGCACACCAAAGGAAGACTGACAGCTTCTAATTTACGCAAACCGAGACTTTGGGTTCAAGGTATATGTTTCCTTGCCTTTTTATTGTAGACTTTCCAGTTCCCATCTACTCATGCGTTTGTATGAAAGCATTTTGGGTGCTTATTTTTAAAGATTTATTTATTTATAAGAATTACGGGGGAGGGGGAGATAGAGAGAGGGTTTATCTTCTATCCCCAAATGGCTGGAACAGCTAGGGCTGGGCCAGGCCAAAAGCTAAGAGCCAGGAGCTTCTTCCGGGTCTCCCACAGTGCAGACAGGGGCCCAAGCACTTGGGTCATCTGCTGCTGCTTTCCCAGGCACGTTAGCAGGGAGCTGGATCAGAAGTGGAGCAGCTAGGACTCGAACCCTTGCCCATATTAGATGCCAGTGCTGCAAATGACAGCTTAACCTGCTGTGCCATAGCACTGGCCCATAGCTGCTTATTTCTAATCTAGGAATAATTCATTTCGACAATATCTAAATAAGCTTATGTAGTAACCTAACTTACGGTATTTTTTTTTTAGGTTTAATGACGAATAAGTATTTTCTGCCAGTGATTGCTATTGAATTTCCACGTGCTGGTGTATGTATTTTCAGTAGAGGGGAATAACATAAGGATAAAGAACATTGAGGTTATTCAGGTAAATGAAGTTAAAAGGTAGCTTTTCATACAGCTGTGCTGTTTTAAATGTGGTAATTTGCACCGCCCCCCCACATGCACACACAAATGTTAATGGATTTGATAGATTGAATCAGTTCCCAAGATGCCTCCCAATTACATGAATCTGTAATTCTACCTAAAATATGATTATCTCATTAGACACTAGTTAATTTTGGTAATTTCAGTACAATGCCCAATTTGAAGCATTCTTGATCATGTATTTCTCAAGATGTTTTAATTTAAAATGAGCCTACGTCTAACACCTGACCATAACAAAGGAAAATAATATGTTTATGGATTTTTAAAGATTATTTATTTGAAAGGCAGAGTTACAGAGAGGCAGAGACAGAGAAAAACAGAAGTCTTCCATACGCTGATTCACTCCCCAATTGACCACAACAGCCAGAGCTGGGCCAATCCAAAGCCAGGAGATGGGAGTTTCTTTGGGTCTCCCACACAGGTATGGGAGCCCAAGGACGTGGGCCATCTTCTACTGCTTTCCCAGGCCACAGCAGCCGGGGCTCGAACCGGCGTCCATATGGAATGCTGGCACTGCAGGCGGCAGCTTTGCCCTCTCTGTGTAACTCTTTCAAATAAAAGAATCTTTGGAAAAAAAAAAAAAAAAGAAGCAGGAAAGAAAAGGCAAATTCAAGGAAAGGTATAACAGTTTTTTTTAAAGATTTTATTTATTTTATTTGAGAGGTGGAGTTACAGACAGTGAGAGGGAAAGACAGAGAGAGAGGTCTTCCTTCCATTGGTTCGCTCCGCAAATGGCTGCAACAGCCGGAACTGCACTGATCTGAAGCCAGGAGCCAGGAGCTTCTTCCGGGTCTCCCACATGGGTGCAGGGACCCAAGGACTTGGGTCATCTTCTACTGCTTTCCTAGGCCACAGCAGAGAGCTGGACTGGAATTGGAGCAGCTGGGACTAGAACTGGCACCCATATGGGATGCCAGCACTGCAGGCAGAGGATTAACCTACTGCACCATGGCATAGGCCCCAATTATAACAGTTTAAGAAGGTTACTGAGCATAAGATAAATTAATAGTGATTCTTTAAACCAATAGTAATCAATTAGGAAACATAACAAAATCATTTTCACAATAGTAATGAATGCCAAAGTACTAAAATAAATATGCATAAAAATATATATAAGATTTTTGTGGAAAAAAAATAAAATATTATCAGCAGACTTGCTGATAAATAATATATATAATATAATATAAAAATATCTGAATAAATCGAGATAAACTTATAGTTGTACTCAGTTTTACAAAGATGTAATTTCTTTGTAAGTTAATCCATAAATATAACTCCATTTGTAACCTACAAAGGATTCAGAAATTTATACACAAATGCTAAAAATCCTACAAGAGTCCCAGAATAGGCAAGATGATTCTAGAAAGAACACAATGTGGGTGGGAGGGTAGCAGTGTGGCGCAGCGGGTTAAAGCTCTGGCCCGAAGCGCAGCATCACATATGGGCACCAATTCTAGTCCCGGCTGCTCCACTTCCAGTCCAGCTGTCTGCTGTGCCTGGGAAAGCAGTAGAAGATGGCCCAAGTCCTTGGGCCCCTGCACCTGCGTAGGAGACCCGGAAGAAGCTCCTGGCTCCTGGCTTCAGATCGATGTAGCTCCGGCCGCTGTGTCCATCTGGGGAGTGAACCAGCAGATGGAAGACCTTTCTCTCTGTCTCTACCTCTCTCTCTATTTCTGTCTGTCAAATAAATAAGTCTTAAAAAAAAAAAAGAAAAGAAAAGAAAAGAAAGCTGGACTTTGTGAGCCAATACCAGTCTCTGCCATAAAGGAACAGCCCAGCCAAATACCACAGTTGATTTATTTGTCATTAATAACAGTGATATTGGGTGAAGAAAAACTAGTTTAATGGAACAGAATACAGTACCCAGAGAAGTCAGTGGAGAAAAGATGAACTATTTAATAGATGATAATAGGACAATTCTATATAGAAAGCAAATATAATAAAATCCTTACCTCACATACGTGAAATAAATTCAACATGGGTTAAGGCTCTTATGTGTCAACTTGTAAAATCATTGCAAGAAAAAAAATAGCTGCTATATTGCACATATCTAGAAGTGCTGTTCCTATTGTAACATTAATTGATAAAGTTGTAAGACACAGTGGTCTTGGTTACAGCTAAGTGAAAAAGGAAGGCTTATTGAAGACCCAAAAATAGAATTGCAAAAGGAAAATATGGATATATGTCTTTCTCAGCTCGGGCTGCTGTGACAAAATTCCATAATTTAGGCAACTTGAAAACCTGTCCTTTATTTTTCTCACAGTTTTGGAGCCTGGGAAATTCAAGATCATGGTGCCAGCAGGTCAGGGTCTTGGTGAGAGCCCTCTTTCTAGCTTACAGGTGACTCTCTTCTCACCGTATCCTCCTATGTGTGGGCATAGAGAGAAATCTCTGTCCAGGGGCTGGCATGTGGCTCAGTGGATTAGGCCTCTGTACTGGCATCCCATATTTGAGGGCTGGTTATAGTCCTGGCTGCTCCACTTCTGATATAGCTCCCTGCTAATGTGCCTAGAAAAGCGACAGAGAATGGACAAGTACTTGAGCCTTTGCCGCTCACAAGGGTGACCCAGGTGGAGTTCCAGGCAGTAGAAGATGCCAAGTCCTTGGACCCCTGCACCGGTCTGGGAGACCCGGAGGAGGCTCCTGGCTTTGGATTGGCTCAGCTCTGGCCATTGCAAGCCATCTGGGGAATAAACCAGTGGACAGAAGATTTAAAAATATTTATTTATTTGAAAGAGTTACAGAGAAGGGAGAGACATCTTCCATCTGCTGGTTCACTCCCCAGATGGCCCCAATGGCTAGGACTGGGCCAGGCCGTAGCCAAGAGTTTCATCTGGGTCTCCCAAGTGGGTGGCAGGGGCTCAGGTACTTGGGCCATCATTCTCTGCTTTCCCAGGCCATTATCGGGGAGCTGGATTGGAAGTGGAGCAGCCAGGGCCCGAACCACTGCACATATGGGATGCTAGCATTGCAGGCAACCACCTTACCCGCTACGCCACAACTCTGACCCCTGGAGAAAATACTTTCAGTGTATACATTGGGTGAACAATGTCCATTCCCAGTTAACTCTCCTCACTCATCTCTGTGGAGGTTATAAAAACTGAAGACTCAATCCTCTGCCTTGGGGCGCCGGCACACCGGGTTCTAGTCCCGGTCGGGGCAACGGATTCTGTCCTGGTTGCCCCTCTTCCAGGCCAGCTCTCTGCTGAGGCCAGGGAGTGCTGTGGAGGATGGCCCAAGTGCTTGGGCCCTGCACCCCATGGGAGACCAGGAGAAGCACCTGGCTCCTGCCATCAGATCAGCGCGGTGCGCCGGCTGCAGCGTGCCGGCCACGGCGGCCATTGGAGGGTGAACCAATGGCAAAGGAAGACCTTTCTCTCTGTCTCTCTCTCTCACTGTCCACTCTGCCTCTCAAAAAAAAAAAAAAAAAAAAAAATACCTGAAGACTCAATTTTCTAGGCTCTTAGAGCTGGAGGAACTCATGTTCTAGTTTTTGAGGTTGCTGTATGGAAATTCATGGATAGTGTTTCTGCAGTTTGTTTTTTTTGTTTGTTTGGTTTTTTTTACAGATAAGTATTTGGCTGGCACACCTGTTTGCTCTTTGCATTTTACTCTTGTGCTTCTCCTTCAAAGTAATTGAAATTGATGGATGTGTAGCAGATATCTTGCCCCCATAATGACAAAAGCCATGTACCAAGTAGGCCAAAACAAAAAAAAAGAGGAACCTGCTTCTTTGATAATGTCCTTGATAGTTGCATGCTCTAGTACGAATCTCCTACCCCAAGAAGATACAAACCCCTGTCTTACTTTAAGGCTTTTCATTGTT